GGGTTCACCTGACTGCGTGCGCCTCTATATTAACAGCTCACGCATGTGGCCTGGCTTGGCCAGCACTCGTTGAACGTAGACCTCAATTAATCCAATCTAAGCTGCCATCCCTCAAGACTGAAGCCTTTTTCTTTCTGTGGTCAGTTACCCTGCGACCTGCTGGCCATATGTTCCCCAGGACCTGCTGTGTGGCCGTGTGGGCCGGGTTGGAAGAGGAGGAGCTGTGTGTGGCCTGTCTCAGGGGCCAGAAGGGCTGGGCTCCCCACAGCTGCCCCTCCAGCTCCTCTGGGCACCTCCCAGCCCCGCGTTGGGGTTCTCTTTCCCTCCTTCCCTTCGGGTCTTGTTCTGGCCCACAAAGAACTAACTGGGTCTGGATGTACCTCCATTTTGTAGACGCAGGATCTGCAGCCCTGGGAGCCAGGGGACATAAACAAAGTTGTGTGTGAACAGTGTGAAAGTTTGGGCTCCCAAGCCCAAGCCCCCTGCCACCCCTTTACTCCTCCAGAACAAGGTGCTCCCCCGGCACCTTTATCTCAGCTCCAGGGAGAAGATGGAGGGGAAGCTAAGCAGGGCAGAGAAAGGCTTTGAACAATGGGAAGAGAATGCGGAGGATGCCTGCAGCAGCCTCCAACACGCACCCCACTCTGCCCACTCATTCCTTTACTCCCCCGATTATCCACTCACTCACCCACCCGTTCATTCACTGCCACTAATCCATCCGCTCTCGCCATCATTCGCACTCTTGCACACGGGTGTCCCCAGATGCCTCCCACTGAGGAAGGCCCTGCCAGGCCTCCAGAGCCCAGGCCCTCCCCTGCCCATCTCCCACAGGCCAGCTTTACCCCCCCCAGCTAGAGGGGCTTTTGGAAGCAGAGGGCAATGAAGCTCGAGGGTGTGATTGAAAGAGAGGGCCTCATGGGCTGGAGTGGCGCAGGGCTGGCGGCATGTCCAGGCCCAGGTGAAAGGGAAAAGGGGTCCCCATGTTGGGAAATCACGGTGCATTTCCAGATGGCAACGGCAAAGCCTAAACCCAGTTCGGAACCTCCCAGTGCTCTGAGCTGCCCGGAGCAGACGGACAGGAAGCAGGGTGGGCTGGGTGGGGTAAGGATGGAAGCTTGTGGGCTTTGAATACTCAAGCCACTCTTTGAGGCCAGATTGTGCATTTTACAGAGGAGGAAACTGAGGCTCAGCGAGGAGAATCATTTACCCAAAGTCACAATTAGTGGGTGGCAGGCGCCTGAATGTAAACCCAGGTCTGAGGGACTCTAAGCCTGGTCTCCGCCTATTCTGAGGTGGAGTGGGGGAGGGAGGAGGAGGAGGTGATGGGGAACTGGGAAATGGTCTGCCTGGGCCTGAGCAGCTGGGTCCTGGGGCCACTGATGGTAGCCTAGGAATGGGGGGTGGGGTGGGGCCACGGGAAGCAGCCAGAGGTGGATCTGGGGCCCCCTAACCTCCATTCCTTCCTGCTCCCAGGGGAGATGGCAAGCCAGAGGGAGACTCCAGAAGGAGAGTCCAAAAGATTGGAGTCGGGGCCTGGGATTTAGATTTCTAATCCGAGACAGCTTTATCTTTCCCAAAGCATCGAAGGTGGAAGTCAATGGTTGGGGGAAGTGGTTAAATGGGAGCCCTCTCTGGGCTCATTGGGCAGAGGTGACCGAGTCAGGGCTCCCACGAACGCTGGTGCCTAGTGCTCCTTCGGGAACTGAATGTTGGTGAGCGAGGGCCCCGAAGGTTGTAACAGCACCCCGGTGCCCGCCCGACAGAAGCCAGCAAACAGCCAAATCCCTGCAGCCCCGCCCAGGCTAACCAACAGTGAGGATATGATTAACCATTAACCCCCACCCCTCCCAGCCTGGGCCTCCACCCTGCACAGAGGCTAGATCGGGCTCCCGGCAGATCCTCCCAGAGGACGGTGGCGGGCAGGCAGAGAGGGCGCCAGGAGGAGGCAGTGGGAGGGCTGAGGGCGGGGGCCGGGGCTCAGCCCGAAAGCTTGGGGTGGGCATCCTGGGCAGGCCAAGAGACCGAGGTGTGGAGGAGAGGATGCGCCTCTCCAAAACCCTCGTCGACATGGACATGGCTGACTACAGTGCTGCGCTGGACCCAGCCTACACCACCCTGGAGTTTGAAAATGTGCAGGTGTTGACGATGGGCAATGGTAGGTGGTGCAGGTGTGCCAGGTGTGTCAGGTGGGGGGCAGATAGGCCCAGGGATGGCAGCGGATCCCTACCAGTCAACTTTGAGCTGGGGGCACTTAAGAAAAGGGTAGGTTGGGCCATAGACTGGCACAGGGGTTGCCAGGTAAAGCAAATATGCCCAGGTAGTATGGCCAGAGGCGAGATGGGCGAGGGGAAACCTGCAAGGGGAAATCTCCAGCACAAGTAGGTCCTGAGGACTCGCCGGGCCCTCCGGATCCTGGTTCCCCAAAGCTGTTCCCGCTCAGCCCGTCCCGGGAACGGGAAATGACGGGAGCTCCGGGAACTGAGCACAACATGGCCCCTTCTGCATGGCTTCTTCTAGAACCCTTTGGGCGCAGGTCCCAAGAGATGGAAAATAGGGAAAATAGGTCCCCAAGGATGGCGGGTGACAGCACCACTGCATTTGGGGGTGTCTTTGGGACTTTCCGGGATGGGCACGCCCCACTTAGACAAACTGAGACTCCCGCTGGGCAGTGTGTTGCGTGTGTGATTGTGGCTTCCTCTGGGAGTGTGTGTGTGCGTTTCCGTGTGGTGGGGGGGTGGCATGTACCGTGAGGCACACCTGTACCCCTGGGGCTCCATCTGCATACAAGAATTCATCTGTGTGTGTGTTCTGGGCCTCTTTCAGTTGTGTTCATGCACTGAGCGTGTCTGTGTTCTTTGGGGGCTCTGGGGTGCTGTTTGTCTTGCTCACGGCCAGTGTGGCTACAAGTGTCTGTGGACATCTGCACACACGTGCCGGCAACACCTGGCCTGTGCCGTCTGTGCAAGCCCCGTGTGGGCCCTTGGCCGCGCGCCCTGCGGGCGCTTGCTGTGTGCGTGCTCTGGGCGCTCTCTCTCCCGGACAGCGGTGTGGGTTTTGATGATGCCTTTCCACGAATGAGATTTGCATCAGTGACACGTCTGTTTGTCTGTCTCAGAGCAGATTCTGTGTGTCTCTTCCAGGCCTGCCAAGTGCCCCTCTGAAGGGGGCTAGGGCTAGGCAGCTCTCCTGGGGGCAGGGGGCGGCCTGGGAGCAGGGCAGCTCCACAGGGGAAGGCCCTATCTGGTCCCAAGCTGGCTTCGGGAGAGGGGAAGGCGGACCGGCCTCCCTCTCGGCCTCCCTCTCGCTCCCTGTCACAGCCCTGCAGCCGAGCGGCAGCCTGGTCAGCTCCGCTCAACTCAGCCAGCGGAGGCAGCAGCGGTTGGGCAGCAGACAGCCAGTCTCAGTCGCGGCTCACCTGCCCCGGCCAGTCACTCTCCATGTGACCTGTCACATCACTTCCCCTCCGCTGGCCACTGGATCTTCTACAAAATTGCTTAACAGGCCCAGGCCTGCGTCCAACTGGCTTCTGGCATCAGGGCATCCCACCAGGGCCCCAGGGGGGAATGCGCTCGCCATGGCATACGAGGTGCTGCCGTGCAAGGCAGGTGCTGGGTGTGCGGTCGAGCTCCTGGCCACCACCCAGGCAGGCTGCTGCTCCCTGGGGCGCTACCACTTCTCCCCTCAGCGCTCAGAGCCTCAGCGCTCCTCAGCCAAAGTCCAAACCCTTCTTCCCCTGGGTGCCCTGAAGCCGGCACGTCTGAAGCCAGAAATATCTGGACTCAAATTCTGACGTAGACCCTGGCGTGGGCTCTGCAAGCCATTTCCTCTCTGAGGCTCCGTTTCTTCATCTGTAGATGAGAAGTAGCAGCAGTGCCTGCTCCCAGGGTGACCCAGAGGATCACACAGGCCTGAGCGCTTAGCATGGGGTCCTGGCCCCGCTTGTGGGGGGGGATCTAAGAACTCTGAGCATCTATCTAGGTCAAGGGTTGACTTTGTCCCCAGCCGGAAGGTGAAGTCTTCTAGAAGCAGAGATCTATTTCTGCCTGCACCCCCGGCTGCTGACTCGATGGCTCCAGGAGAGCCCCCTGCCTTGCCCCCAGCTCCAGTTCAGAAGCAGCAATAGCAATAGGGGCTCATTGGTCATGAGAAGCCCTAGCGGACACCCAACACCCAACGAGTAGAGCACTGGCCAGAGCCCTCCAGTGCCGCTGGAGTAGATTGGCCTTCCTGAGACTAGGAGCTCTTGCCTGGAGAACGGGGAGTCACTCGAGAGAAATGCAGGACAGAGGGTCACACGCGCTGACCCTATGGGCGGGGCGATGAACCCAGCAGCACCCACCCCAGCCCACGCAGGGCATGGGGGCCTCTTCCCCATCCTCTGTGGAATGGCCACGGCTTCTGGAGTCAGCTCTCCCTCGTGGCGGCCGGGGGAGTCAGGACTGAGGGAGGGCTCCAACACGCTGAGCAATCACCCCATCTCCAGGAATAAGTCACCAGGTGGAAGAGGGCACGCTTCTGGGCGTGCCGGGGGGTCTGGGAGGCTTTCGGCCAGATAACGGTGCAAATGAAATGCAGGGACCCCCGCGTGCGTGGGGCGAGGCTCAGGCACAGCTAGGGGGCTGCCTCCTGCAGGAACATTTTAGTTGATGCAGTGGCTTTACACGCTCCCCAGGGGGTTCACTGAGTCCTCAGAGCCGCCCCCTGGGGATGTTGCTCCCCACCTGAAGAGGGAGGAAAGGAGGTGAGGGGAGGTGTGTAAGGCAGGTAAAGCATCGCACTCAAGTGGCAAACTGGGCCTCAACCCTGGCAGAGAGGCTGGGGGCTGCGCCCTTGACCACAGGGCACAGCCCTCTCCAGTTCGGAACTGGATGGTCACGGGGATTCGAGGCAGAGTCCAGATCTCCGTGGGAACCTGTGTGTGATGCTGCGTGGTGTGCACAGGCGTGCATGGCCCCCGGCGGCTGTCACCCCCAAGAGCCCTGTCTTTGGCTGGTGATTTGTTTGCACAAAGGAGGATTTAGCTGCTGAATTTTTTTTAAAACAGGAAACAATGGGACTAGTTAAATGGCCCCTTCACAGTTTACAGGTAAGGACATTGAGATCCAAGGGGGGTTGAAGCAAATAGCTTGCTCAAGTCACAGGCCAGAGCTAAAGGCAGCATCAGTGGTAGCCCAGAACCCTGCCCTCCCCCTCCCCTC